TATTAATATATATATATATATATATATATATATATATATTTAATAAACTTTTATGATATTTTTTAATTATATTCAAGAGAATTTTACTGTTAAAGAATAACAAAAATCCCATATCGGTGATTAATGAGATGGGTGAACTCTTTATAAGGCTTGGGCAATCCTCCTCTCTTTGAGCTAGCTTTTGGGGTGTGAGTTAGGCCTAAGACCTAATTTCACACTTACTAGATTAAATAGAAACTTTACTTCGATCCAATAATTTGGCCTTAGAATTCTCGTCAAAAGATCTCGATGGTTTTGTGAGTGGTTCATATGCTTAATTATAATTTCTTACATTATTTGAATAAAATTACTAAATTTACGTTCAAACTTCTAGCTCCTCCTCATCAATATAAGTAGGTAGTCATCATAAATTTTCTAATGACTTAAACAATCGTGATGGGTCAATAAATATTTTATGTTATAAAATCTTAATGTAAAGTACTTCTTGATGATATAGACTATAGTATATACTAATAATTGGGGACAGTGGAATTTATTATCAGTGACATATAATAAATAATAAACTTTTACTTTTATGAAACAGCCAACTGCTATAAACTGTTTGAAGAATGAATATGGACATACAAAATTAATATTGTATTTAAAATATATGGTAGTGTTAACCAGGAGCAATTTAATTTGAGGATAACGATCTGATAAGAATCAAATTTGTTTCGAGGCGAATCTAAAATATAAAGAAAATGAATTGTATGGAAATTTAGAAACGTTTGAAGTTTTAATAATGAACTAACCGATTCTCTAGGGTTTAGGCATAATAAACAAAAGCTTTATTTAAATATACTTTGATTCAATTGTACCCTATAGCAAATTATTGCTATTTTCGCCTCTTCTTGGTGGAATCTCGCTCGCCACTCTCATTTGGTGATAGTTTCGATCGCCTCTCTCGTTTTTATACAAACATAAATGTATAGAATGTGTTTGTTTTTGTATAAAGCGAAAGGAAATTATATATATACATATATTTTCGTTACCCTCTCCCAAATCCCTCGCCACTCTCCCAGATCTCGCTCGCCACCCTTGCCTCTCTCGCTTATACAAACAGAAACGAAATGTATAAATTGTGTTTCTGTTTGTATAAAGCGATAGAAAATTATATATACACATGCAAATACGTATATCTTCGTCCTATACACATATAACTATACAATACAAATATTTCCTGACCAGTTTTCTTTTGCCTTTCTCTCTTTCTCATTTTATACATACGTCAAAGGAAAGTGGAATCATACCTTAGTTCAGGATCTCCTACAACTGCTTTCTTTTGTATATGTATAGAGAATTATACAACTGGTTTCTTTGTATATGTATAGCAAGTTATACAACTATTTTTTTAAAATATGTATAGCGAAATATACATATTTATGTTTGCTATGAAACGCAATTATACAAGCTATAGCTATAGCATACAAATATAATTTTTATGTTAGCTATATGTGAAAGTTACTCAATTATATATTCGCTTCTATCAAAATTTACTACTTCACTTATATCTTCAACACTTCATAGGGAAAGTTCTAATTCACACACAACTAATATTAGGTAGCGCTCGAAAAGCATAATATCTCTAACATATAAACAAATTCAAGATTTTAATTTTGTTTGGTTCAATGAACCTAATGGTTCTTAACATTAAATATTTGCACTTGTAAATTATGAGTTCAAAATTCATTATTATTTGTCAAAGACTTTTGAGGTAATAAACAAACCATACTTGATGCAATAATGCATCTTTTTGTTTAAAAAAATGTCAAAGAAAGCAGTTGCAAACATGACTATATATTTGAAGGTTTCAAATACTTAGCTCATGAAAGTGACTCAAAACCTAAACTCAATATGTCACCACGAAGTTATTGACAAATGACAGAGTCAAGTTTATGAGAATAAGCCGGCATCATTCGGTTCAACGAAAGTTAAAATTAAAGGCGGATCCAGAATTTTAATTCTATATATTCCAAACTCGGGTTCCAACCACTAACCCCATCACCTCGAGGGCTCGTAGTTCAATATTTTTCAACAATTCCAGTAAATTTCACACAGATAAATCCAGGATGACATAACGACTATATAACAATAAATCAAGAAACCTATCAACAAAGTCAAGACAGACGGACTGTGAGCAAATGCAAGTATCATTTTACTATTCAAGATCAAACTCGTTTTTGCAAGCCTCGTGCAATTTGATATCACAATCCACAACCCAAAACATAAAACGAGGAACGAATCAATCAACAAAACCAAGTAATATAGCCCATTCAACATATAGATTGATAGTAGTGCTATCCACAATGTGTTCGTAGCATAAAAAATGATACTACGATCATAACAACATAACCTGTGCAATCCCACAAGTAGGGTTTGGGGAGTATAGGATGTACCCAAACCGGGTAGAGAGGTTGTTTCCAATAAATCATCCGCTCAAAAGGAAAATGGGTACACCACCAATCTTACAATTATATAACATGTAAGAAGTCCCAAAATAAACACAATTCATCTTCACTGATAATCACTAGCGCTCCAATTAAAGAAGGAATAATATGTGTTATGATTTATGAACTTACTAAACAAAATAACAATGGTATTTACAAACATACCACCTATTGATATAGTCAGCTAACTTCCATCAGTGGGAAGTGATGCCATGAAAGAATTGTATGACGATTCCAGATCGAAGTGGAGCTGGCGAGCCTGTTGTTCTGTCAACTCATCTGCAGCCCCCATCTTCGACAGTCTTGAAAGCCACTCTCTCATCTTTGTCTTCCCTTCAAAATCCACTGGCAGAATCGATAGTTTATTGAGGGAAGATGACAGATCTGATAATAGGGGATAGACCTGGTCTACGGCAATCATGTTCAACTTTAACGAGTCCATTGCAGTGATGAAATTCTGCACACATTCGGCCACAACAGCTGCTGAACTCACAGATGACATTGCAGCAGCAGCTCGGTGTTCTACAGTAGCTGGCACGCCAGAGGTCACAAGCCGGTTTAGGGCAGCAGGGCAATCCATTTTGTATGTGTCATGAAATCGCTCAATGTTAGGTACAGTATCCCTTAATGTAGATGATAGGGTTTTGAACTGAGCAATGAGTTTCTGACTCTCAGTCTCATATTCAGCTGCTGAAATGATGTCACGAACATAAGCCTTCTCTAGCTTCTCTGTTGCTTTGATAATAGCAAAGAGTTCAGCTAAGTTGTCATACATTTCTCTTTCACGCTTGTCATTCCATAGCTTAACCTCCATTTGAGTTTTCAAGTATATTTGAAATAGGAAACCTTTTACAATAGGGTTGGAGAAGAGAATGGGACACGCGCAAAGATGCTAATCTTTGTCACTGCAAAAACATCACAACCTAAGATTACATTGCTGCTATGACTAACAAATCGTAGAACCATAAAGACCAGATATCTAGATGAGTTTAATTTTAAGTTTATGGGACTGTATGCATACAACGGTCAAGACACATCCTTAGTATTCATGTAAAATTTCACTATGATTGAGAAAAAGTAATAGTTATCTTCAATCAGAACGTATAGTAGACTAAGACCTTTCACGCACACCCCACAACTACTGTATATACTCCCTAATTTTTTCTAGTTGTGAGAACTTCCTGAGCTTAATGACAAATGCAAAGACCGTCTGTTCAGAAACTAAAGGAATTCCTAACATGCCTGAAAGTTGAAAGATGCTTTGCTTCGGCCCTGGTTAGATAGAGAATGATTTCTATAAGTCAGTAGGATACAACAAATATTTGAATCACCAAATTATGTTTTCCTAATGACATAAGAGAAGTACAAGTTGATATAGCTTATCAGAGCGGATTTTTTGATTGAAAAAATCCTTCTCAATTTTATTTATAATTTATAACAAAAATTAGGACCATGACCCTACAAATCAGAAAATAACAACTTTCAATGTGGCAGTCTTATCTTTTATAAACTAATGCCAATTCGGAGAAACGCAATGATGAAGCAGTGCGAGAACAGGGGAGAAAGGTAGACGGAAAACCCTAATGCTTGGCCAAGGCCCTCCTACTACTTTAATGAAGTCCATCCAATTTCAACACAGCGTAATGAGAAGCAAGATGAACGAACATAGACACACAGATAACTAGATTATCATGATCAGATGAACCAAATCAACTCACTTAAACCTTGTGCAAGTATTTTCTCTCTTCAGCTCAAACTTTCCTCTTTTCTCCATTTTTCCATGAGTATAGTGAAGCACACAAATGATCTCAATCAACTTTCACATGAATGAGTATATAAGAGACATACTTGACACTTCATTAGACAAGTTTTTACACTTCCTTGTTTCTTATTTCTTTTTTTCTCTTCTACCCATATCCCTCTTTCCTATATCAATTTTATAGCAAGTTTATCTCTTAAGCTCATTGCATTGGATCTTCTTGATCTTCTTTCTCAAGAGAAGGTCTTTAACACGTGAATTACGAGACTTCATGCAAGGGTGCACAATAGAACTTCAAGCTTTTAGTAGCAAAATTAAAAGGAAAAGTGTATAACATCCCCTAGACACACTGAAATTGAAACTACAACACATGACACTTCGTCATAGTGGAGGAAACTCAACGAACTCCTATTAACATCAGCCAAATTGAATTACTGAAACCTTGTTTAGGGCAAAATGAAAGCATTTACAGCTGCAGATATACATAAACTTATCTGCAGCTATTTCTATCTTCATCCACTAACTTACAAAAACATGAACCCTACTCAAAATGTGATTATACAATATAGATGCAAACATCAGTGCACTGATGAACTTGATAAAAAGACAGAAATCAAAATCCCAAAACACCCATTAGCGAAAATGTATTGAAATCAAATCTTGAATCCCACTCTAAATATGAATATATACAATATAAACATCAGTGCATTATTGAACTTGATCAAAAGACAGAAATCAAAAACCCAAACCACTCATTAGTGAGAAATGCATGAGATCTAATCTTGAATCCTACTCTAAATATGAATACATACTTTATAAATGCAAGCATCAATGCATTGTTGAACTTGATAACAACACATCAAAATCCCAAAAAAAAAAGAACATGAGCAAGAAATGCATGTAATCAACCACCCATTAGTGAGAAATGTATGAAATCAACCCTCTCCCACCCCCCACTCCACACACACTTAAAAAAAGCTCACAAATCTATCGATAAGGAAATAGACCTTTCGGTCTAACTCAACCCCAATACGTTGTTAATAGAATAGACATCTAGAGCATGGAGAATATAAGATACCATGATAAAGTAAGGAACTTTCGACCTCACTCAAACCAAAACTTAGCTCAAAAAGAAGGAAATCGTATCCCACCCGATATTAGATAGTGTGATTGAATTGCAAAAAATAGAAAACAACTTGCATATAATTTCAAAACAACAAAAAGCAAAGAGATTCAGAAAAAACCAAATAAATAAATAAGCATGACGAAGTAACAAGAATACGAATTACAAGCTTAAATTGAAAGAATCCAGCTAAAGTCTACCTCAAAGATCACTCTAGAGTTACAAAACAGACAAAAATAAAACACTCCCATAGAATTTAAAAACAACCCCAAAACAACAAAGACCAAGTAGATTCAGAAAAACCCAATTCGAGTATAAGCCAGACAAGTAAGAAGAAAAACGATTACAAGCTTAAATTGCAAAAAAGAAAAATAACCCAGCTGAAATTTACCTCAAAGATCATGAACATGGCAGATAAGAGCTGCAAAACAGAAAAAAAAAACCCAAATTAACAAAAACCAAGCAGATTCAGAAAAACCCAAATCGAGAATAAACAAGACAAGCAACAAGAAAAAGGGATTAACAAGCTTAAATTGAGAAAAAAAACAAATAAAATTTACCTCAAAAGATGAATAACATGGCAAGCACTGAACCAAAAACAAAAATAAAATCTGAGCAGGTGAAAAAAATGATTATGCAAAGAGCAAAGTATGAAAAAGAGAGAAGATAGAGACGTATGTACAGAGAGAAGAAATGGAAGACGCGGCTTTGAATAATGGGAAGTGTGTTGCAGGCATCCAAAAATATGAGAAGAAGATTTCTTTCATTTTATTTTCTTTTATTCTTTTTTTGCTTGGGTAATAAATAGTTTGCGTGTGGAATTAAAAAAATATATATTTTTATTTCAATAAATTTATTATACTAATAAAAGATCTCCTCAACCCAAAAGCGTGAATCGAACTGAAATCGATAATTCCAATCGAAAAAAAGTTACTTAGTTTTTCAATAGCCGATTTTGATTTTTTTTTTGTCATAGGTTCTTAATCAATAGTCCGATGGTAAATTAAATAATTATATTTGTATTATATTTGATTTAGGGTTTAGTTTTCTACTTTTATTATAGTTGTCCCAGAACTCTTGATTATTCTATAATGTGAAATTGATTGTTTTTTAGTACGATGTAATTTTTGAACGCATGTGCATGGTTCATTTGATTTGTCACCTTATTTTAAATTGATTTTTAATATTTTTTTATGTCAAACCTTAACGAGAAAACTGATAACGGTCATTAACCGATAAATCAATAACCAATAAGTTGATACTTTAATGATTCTATAACTGTTTAGCATCTCTACAAATCGATAACTAATAAGTGAAACCGATCGATACGTAACTCTATGTATAGTAATGGATATTTCATACACTTTTCGTCCCTATTTACTTGTGAAATATTTTCTAATTTGATTTCCTTTGATATATAAAGGAAAAATAATTTTTTTTTCTTATTATACCCTTAATTTATTAACTGAGTTAACGTCCTTGAAATATGTATTAAATAAATATATCTGAAATTATATTGATTAATAAGGATAAAATGATAAACTCACTATACAATTTATTGTTTTTTAAATAGGTAAGTCTAGTGAAAATTTGACAAGTAAAAAGAGACGGAAGGAGTAAGAGAGATTAGGGATTGAATTCTTGGTGCTGAGTTTGGAGTATAAGCCTTTTAAAATATGGCGTTAAAATGAATAGCGTACAGATAACTAAGGAATCGTTTGATAGTTGGATAGAAACAAGTTATTCATGTACTACATTCCTAATCATTTGTCCAATTTTGAATTGACATGTCTATTAAGAAAAAAATTATTGACACAGTAAGTTTAACATTTTTATTTTCATTATTTATGAAGTGGATAAATTAAAATTTTAAGATTTTCAAAAAATTCTACCTTTTCCAAAATTAATTAATTGAGGGTATACTAATTAAAAAGAAATTGTCTTTTCTTGATTTGTTAAAGTGAACAAGTACAACAAAAAAATTGAATGAATGATCAAGGACATAGAGTGTTATTTGTATATTACTTATACGATATTTGTTAGATAGATAGGAAATAAACTATTTATGTATAAAATTAGTATGAAGTTCGGTTGGCAATTTAGAAACATGCACAATTAATACATGTATAAGTTATGAAAAAATATGTATATTATTTTATACAAAATAGAAGGTGGAATGACTAATATGAGGTTGTTTGTTAGCTGATTTGAGGATAAGTTATAAAAGAATAAAATCGTGCATATAGTTATAACATGTTTGATAGTTGATTACGAGATAAACTATTCATGTGTAAAATTAATATGTTGTTTGAGCTTGCAATTTAAAAATTCATATAATTAATACATGGATAAGTTATAAGGAAGTCTATGTTTATTTTATACAGGATAGAAGGTGAGAAAACTAATATCAATATAAAATAATACATAAACTTTTTCATAATTAATCTCTACATTATTAATACATGTATAACTCTACTAAAGTTATACTTTTCTTCTTCTTCTTCTTTTTTGGATAAATAAGGATAATATATTAATAATTAATATGCATCATTACAAGATAGTAATAACACGATCAATAATTGTTTGAGAGGTAAACTAGAAATAATATTTTTACAATATTTCGTAGAAGACAAATAACTTATAAACCATATAAAAAGAGTTCCTACTTTGTCTGATTTAAAAGAATCACATAACTTCAAAGTAAGTGATAATAGATTTTAGTCCCTCTTTGACTCATGCATCTATCACTTATAAGTTACCAAAAATATTATATAATGATATTTTGAATCGTATGACCATAAAAGAAATAGCAAGTGATAATAGATTTTTGATAACATATTTTCTCATTATATTTGAAATTAAACACAGAGATTGAAATATGTATAAATTAAACCAAATACAATTTCATTTTTCTAACAACGCTCTCACCTTTTTATTTCTTTGATGATTTAGCGATTATAAAATATTATTCATAACATTATTAGAAAACACAAATATTTTTTATTGTACATGTTATGACCCGATTTCGAAAACTAAAGATTTTCTTAATCGATTTCACTACTTTGGTAATTTTGTTAAGTTTTTTTTTTTGGGAAAAATTATTATAATTTGAAAGTTGCCACTTAATTTTTTAAGAAAAAAAATAAGAAAACCAATTAAAAGGGAATTTTTGAAAGAAAACATTTAAACAAATCAGAGTCTGGTAAGGGTTCAACTAATTCTCCAAGGAAGGGTTTAGGCATCTTGGAGAATTCGTTAGCGTGTGGTTGACTGACAGATTTGAAAGTTTGGTTAATTTTATAGAGAATTTAAATTACTAAAAAGAGACATGTTGAAAACTTGAATGAAAATCTTTTGATACTTTTAAAAATCTCTAGATAAATCTAACTAGAAACATTTATCCATTGTCAAGTTCTGAACATACAATTAATTCAAACTCACCAACATGGATCAAGGGACCTTGTTTAATAATTATGAAAGGATATAGATTATCCTTAAGTCATTCATACAAAGTCTTAAGTTAAATTAAAACACAACTAATTTATTTTAAAAAACTTAAAAATTTTATTCTATTCAAAAATTTGATTTAAATAGTTAATTTAACGCATAAACATAGATTCAAAGTTAATTATCAACTATGAAAGAATATGAATAATTCTCAAGTTAGTCTAAAAGCTTAAATTGCCTAACTTAAAGAATTTGAAAACTTGGCAAAACGAAATAGAAAACTTCTCCAAGAATTCATCTAAATAGACAAAAATAAAATGTTAAAAGTTAGCGATAATCCAACACATATTCACAAATAAAGCAAATAACTAAATAAAATAAAGAGCGGATGAAAAGGGAATTTGGCCCCTTTCTGACTCTTGCCGCCATTGCTGCGATCAAATAAATTGGACAAGGGGATGAGTCTTGAAACCTGAGAGAACCCCTAAAGGTTTGGGAAATCTTAGTTCAATAGTTTAGTTTTTGTGGTTGTTCGAGTTGAAAGAGGTGGTGGAGTCGTCCTCTCAACTCGTCGTTTCCGTTAGCTGCTCAAAACCAGGTAATCTTCTTTTTATACAAATTTCTAGCTCCGTTTTCTTTTTTTAATTTATCATTCGTGTTCTATGTCTATATAGTACTTCTCATATCCCTATTTAATTGTCCACTTTAGAAATGACACACATATTAAGATAGCAATAATTAGCATGATGAAGTTATAATTTTACCCTTATTAATTATGATTTTCAAAAATGATGAATTAAAACTTGAAAATTTTCAAAAAGTTCAAGAGGGTATAATAGGAAAAAAATTGTCCTTTCTTGATTCGTCAAAATAGACAAGTAAATAGAAACAACTAAAAGAGAAAATATGAACAAATAAATAGAAACAAAGAGAGTAATTTAATTACATATTTTTTAGGAAGCTCAAATGTTATGTTTCTTTTTTGATTTGATTAGTGTGAATGTTCATAAATATGACTCTTGCCGCCATTAACTGCATATTCACACTAATCAAATCAAACTATATAGACATACAACACGAATAATAAATTTTTTAAAAAAATGGAGCTAGAAATTTGTATCGAAAGAAAATTACCTAGTTCTGAACAGCGAATCAAAACGGTGAGTTGAGAAGACGACTCCACAACCTCTTTCAACTCGAACAATCATAACAGTTAAACTATTGAACCAAGATTTCTCAAAACCTTAAAGGTACTCTCGGGTTTTAAAACTCGTCCCCTTAAACAGTGAATGAAGAATATTTAAATAGGAAAGATTCTAGGTCGAATTTGAGGGGGGAAACGATGTGGAAATTTTAGTTCAAAATTTGAAATTTCAAAGGGATAAAGGACGAGCTGGAATTTGTCCCAAATTTTAGTTCAAGATTTTGTTGAATATTTTGGTGGGAAATGGGCCCAAAATTGGTTTGGGTTGCTCGATAGGTAAAAAAGGGCCAAGAAATTTGGCTAACAACTAAATAAGATGAATTAATATTAGTTTACGAGTTTTTTTATCTTAACAAAATAAGAATAGTTAACGTAATTATAAATTAAATAATTTAAAATTATAATCATGATTTAAATTAAATTAATTTAATAAAATATTTATTAAAATATTAAAATCTTTTTGAGATGATTTTCGATAAAATAAATAATGTAATGGGCAATAAAGCACCTTTTATGAATAGACCCAGGTTTTCTATTAGTGTCATCTATGGAAAAAAAATAAAGAAAATAGAAATCCCACCTTTTAATTTATTTATTTTCATTATCTCCTTATAAGTTTTATAAATTGTCAATATCTCTCATTTTTCTCTTGAGTCAAAAACGATATTAATATATCTGACACTCCATTTATGTTTTCGACTCTCTTTTTAACGAATCAACAGTTTGATTATTTGGCCATTAATGTATTTGGACCTTCCATTAATGGATCCAATCCTCTTTTTAATGTATCAACGCATGTAGTCGACCCTCTTTATAATATATCATCGCTTTGGTTATTAATGTATTCGAACCTTCCAATAATGTATCCATTTGAGAAATTTTTATAATTATAAACTTTTAAGGGATAATTTATAGTTTTACTTAAAATATGTGATTTCTATTATTTTATCAAATAACAATAACTTTATAATTATCTAAACTTTAAATCATTACAATAAATAGTCAATTGATTTTATATCCCAAAGTATTTATGGATAATTTTCTACCATCAGTGTCATCAACGGAAAAAAACAGTAACTTTATAATTATCTTTAAGTTTTAATAATCACAATATGTAGTCAA